AGGGAAAATCCCTCAGCCAGCAAAACATCGTGGCACAAAGTGAGGATGACCCTGCTGAGGCTGCGGTGCCTCAAATATTGGAAGAAGTCACCCCCTGTGAGTGGCTGGCTGAGGTGCCATCTGCTGAGGAAGTATTGAAGGCGATCCGGAGTCTGCGACCAGGAAAGGCAGCGGGCAGAGATGATCTCCCAAGCGAAATGCTGAGGGAGGGTGGCGTTTGTGCACAGACTGTCCTATATGACATCATAACAACAGTCTGGACCACTGGACGGGTTCCGCAGGATTGGAAGGATGCCCTCGTGGTCCCCCTTTTTAAGAAGGGGGACCGCACAGACTGTAACAACTACAGGGGCATCTCACTCCTCAGTGTGCCGGGAAAGGTCCTGGCAAGGATTATTCAGCATCGCCTTGCCAGGCACGCTGAGGAGAGGCTTGCGGAGCCCCAATGCGGTTTCAGGAAAGGGCGGTCCTGCACAGATGCCATATTTTCTGTCCGTCTGCTACAGCAGAGGTGTAGGGAATTCCAACAAGACCTACATCTCTGCTTTATTGACCTGGTCAAGGCCTATGATACCATCAGTAGGCCTGGGCTCTGGGTCGTTCTTCGTGCTTTTGGAGTACCTGACCCTCTGCTCACGATCATTAAGGACCTTCATGATGGTGAGCGGGCCCGGGTAAAACTACGTGGCCGGGAGTCAGAGCCATTCCCTGTACACCTTGGGGTGCGACAGGGATGTCCTCTGGCTCCCACATTATTTAACATCTATTTTGACCACGTAGTTCGTGAAGCCTTCAATAGCTGTACCAGGGGAATCTCCATATGGTACAGATATAATGGGAGGCTAATCGATGCCCGGGTGCGGTCAAGGGATGGCTCCCTATTGCTCAACCACGTTATGTATGCTGATGATTTGGTAATAGCTGCTCAGTCAGAGGAGGAGTTGGAGACGCTGCTGCTGAGACTGGAGCGTGCCACTAAGAGGTGGGGCCTTACCATCAGCCCCACCAAAACTAAGCACCTGCCTGGGTATTTTGTACCATCGGACACTCCACCCCCACAACTCCCAATTGGTGATGGGGCAGTTGTGGAGAGAGTGGAGAGTTTCCCATACCTGGGCAGTGTACCTATGACTGGCTCCAGTTTAACAGCAGAAGTCTCACTCCGAATCAGTCGAGCGGCAATATCTTTTCATCGGTTGCGTAACGCTGTGTGGAAGCTACCTGGTCTATCACTCCGCACTAAGCTTCAGGTCTTCTCGGCCACGGTCATTCCCTCCCTTCTCTATGCTTGCGAAACGTGGACCCCCCTAATGGAACATCTTCGCCGGTTAGAAACATTTAGGCTGGCCTGCCTACGATCCATCCTGGGTTTAACCAGACTGGATTGTGTGAGGAGCTCACAAATCCTTGAAAGATCTGGGCAGGGTCCCATCGGTGAGCTCCTCCGGCAGGCAAGGCTGCGATGGCTGGGTCATGTAGCCCGCATGCCCAGCCACCGCATGCCGAAACAGCTTTTGTTCTGCCGGATCGAGGGGGCTAAGCGGGCGCGGCACGGGCTAGAGAAGAGATGGAGTGATGTGGTACAGGAGGACGTGGAGCTGAGTGGACTTGCCGATGACCGGTACCAGCGGTGTCAAGATCGGCTTCTGTGGAGGAGGCTCGTGAAGGATGCTACTGGGCAGTTGGAGGCAGTCGCCCTCCAACAACAACGGAGGGCGGAGGACCGACGCTCACAACAACGAGCGGAGCGCCGGGTGGCTAAAGCACAGCAGGTTGGCACAGTAGGGGGCACAGGTGGTGCATCAGCCAGTCATCTCAGTCAGTCGACCCGTGGCACCTGGGTCTGCCCCGTGACCTCCTGCCAGCGGGCGTTCGACACTTCACGTGGCCTCACGGTGCACATAGCCTGGCACAAGCGTCGTGGTGACGTCACCGCCACTTAGTGGCGAATGGCGGTTGTTGTTGTTGTGTGTCACGTGGTGCACAGGGCAGTTAGTGTGCGTGTGTCACGTGGTGCAGAGGGCAGTTAGTGTGTGTTTGTGTCTGTGTGTGTGTCTGTGTGTGTCTGTGTCTGTGTGTGGTTGTTGTTGTGTGTGGTTGTTGCTGCTGCGTACTCTCCAGGTAGCTGAGGATCTTGGCCTTCAGCTCTGCCGTCTTCACCGCACTGCGGTCACAGATCACCTGCACGGAACAACAACAACAACCACCACACACAACAACCACCACACACATCAACAACAACCACCACACACAACAACAACAACCACCACACACAACAACAACCACCACACAACAACAACAACAACCACACACACATCAACAACAACCACTACACAACAACAACAACAAAAACAACCACCACACACAACAACAACCACCACACAACAACAACCACCACACAACAACAACCACCACACACATCAACAACAACCACCACACACAACAACAACCACCACACAACAACAACAACCACCACACACAACTAAACAACATCAACAACAACCACCACACACATCAACAACAACCACCACACACAACAACAACAACCACCACACACAACAACAACAACCACCACACACATCAACAACCACCACCACACAACAACAACCACCACACACATCAACAACAACCACCACACACATCAACAACCACCACACACAACAACAACAACCACCACACACAACAACAACAACCACACAACAACAACCACCACACACAACAACAACCACCACACACATCAACAACAACCACACAACAACCACCACACACAACAACAACAACAACCACCACACACATCAACAACCACCACACAACAAGAACCACCACACACAACAACAACAACAACCACCACCACACAACAACAACAACCACCACACATCAACAACAACCACCACACACAACAACAACAACCACCACACACATCATCAACAACAACCACACACACATCAACAACCACCACACACACAACAACAACCACCACACAACAACAACAACAACCACCACACACATCATCAACAACAACCACACACACATCAACAACCACCACACAACAACAACCACCACACACAACAACAACCACCACCACACACATCAACAACCACCACACACAACAACAACCACCACACACATCAACAACCACCACACACATCAACAACCACCACACAACAACAACAACCACCACACACATCAACAACCACCACACAACAACAACCACCACACAACAACAACAACCACCACACACAACAACAACTACCACACACAACAACAACAACCACCACACACAACAACAACAATGATGATAGTCATGATGATGGTGGTGATGGTGATGGTGGTGATGGTGGTGATGGTGGTGATGATGGTGGTGATGGTGGTGATGGTGATGATGGTGATGGTAATGTGGGTGATGGTGATGATGGTGGTGATGGTGGTGGTGATGTGGGTGATGGTGATGATGGTGGTGATGGTGGTGGTGATGGTGATGTGGGTGATGGTGATGATGGTGGTGATGGTGGTGGTGATGGTGATGTGGGTGATGGTGATGATGGTGATGATAATGATGGTGGTGATGGTGATGATGGTGGTGATGGTGATGATGGTGATGGTGGTGGTAATGGTAGTGATGGTGGTGATGGTGATGATGGTGATGATGGTGGTGGTGATGGTGATGGTGGTGGTGATGTGGGTGATGGTGGTGTGGGTGATGGTGATGATGGTGATGATGGTGATGGTGGTGATAATGATGGTGATGATGGTGGTGGTGATGGTAGTGATGGTGGTGATGGTGATGATGGTGATGATGGTGGTGGTAATGGTAGTGATGGAAGTGATGGTGATGATAGTAATGATGGTGGTGATGATAGTAATGATGGTGATGATGGTGGTGGTGATGATGATGGTGATGATGTGGCTGATGATGATGATGATGTGGGTGATGGTGATGTGGGTGATGGTGATGATGGTAATGATGTGGGTGATGGTGATGTGGGTGATGGTGGTGATGGTGGTGATGATGGTGGTGATGGTGATGGTGATGATGATGTTGATGTGGGTGATGTGGGTGATGGTGATGATGATGGTGATGATGGTGATGATGTGGGTTATGGTGATGTGGGTGATGTGGGTGATGGTGATGGTGGTGATGATGATGGTGATGTGGGTGATGATGGTGATGATGGTGATGATGGTGATGGTGATGTGGGTGATGACGATGGTGATGATGGTGGTGATGGTGATGATGGTGGTGGTGATGGTGATGGTGGTGATGGTGATGATGGTGGTGATGGTGATGATGGTGATGTGGGTGATGACGATGGTGATGATGGTGGTGATGATGATGGTGATGGTGGTGATGATGATGGTGATGATGGTGATGATGGTGGTGATGATGGTGATGATGGTGATGGTGGTGATGGTGGTGATGGTGATGATGGTGATGTGGGTGATGGTGATGATGGTGATGATGGTGATGATGGTGATGGTGGTGATGGTGATGATGGTGATGATGGTGATGATGATGATGGTGATGTGGGTGATGATGATGGTACCTGTGATGGAGTGAGCCCATCACGGTTGGGCCGGCTGATGTCGGTTGCCGGGTGAGAAGCCAAAACTCGGACCACGCCAGCGTGGCCGAACTTGCAGGCAAAGTGCAGCGGGGAGTCGCAAGCCTGCAGACACACAGAGACACACAGAGACACTCAGACACACACAGAGACACTCAGACACACACACAGAGAAACACAGAGACACACAGAGACACCCACTCATAGAGACACACACAGAGAAACACACAGAGACACACAGAGACACTCAGACACACACAGAAACACACAGAGACACATGAAGACACACACAGAGACACACAGAGAGATACAGAGAGACACACAGAGACAGAGACACACAGAGACACACACAGAGACAGACACAGAGACAGACACACACAGACACACACAGAGATACACACAGAGACACAGAGACACCCACGCATAGAGACACACACAGAGACACACACACAGAGACACACACAGAGACACACAGAGACACTCAGACACACACACAGAGACACTCAGACACACACACAGAGACACACAGAGACACCCACTCATAGAGACACACACAGAGAAACACACAGAGACACACAGAGACACTCAGACACACACAGAGACACCCACACACAGAGACACACAGAGACACACAGAAACACACAGAGACACATGAAGACACACACAGAGACACACAGAGAGATACAGAGAGACACACAGAGACAGAGACACACAGAGACACACACAGAGACACACACAGAGACAGACACAGAGACAGACACAGAGACAGACACACACAGACACACACAGAGATACACACAGAGACACAGAGACACCCACTCATAGAGACACACACAGAGACACACACACAGAGACACACACAGAGACACACAGAGACACTCAGACACACACAGAGACACTCAGACACACACACAGAGACACACAGAGACACCCACTCATAGAGACACACACAGAGAAACACACAGAGACACACAGAGACACACAAAGACACTCAGACACACACAGAGACACCCACTCATAGAGACACACACAGAGACACCCACTCATAGAGACACACACAGAGACACACAGAGACACACAGACACACACAGAGACACAGATAAACACAGACACACAGACACACACAGACACGCACACAGAGACACAGAGACACCCACTCATAGAGACACACACACAGAGACACACACACAGAGACACACACAGACACGCACACAGAGACACACAGAGACACCCACTCATAGAGACACACAGACACACACAGAGACACTCAGACACGCACACAGAGACACACAGAGACACAGAGACACCCACTCATAGAGACACGCACACACAGACACACAGACACGCACACAGAGACACACAGAGACAAACACAGAGACACATATAGAGACACACACAGAGACACTCAGACACGCACACAGAGACACACACAGAGACACAGAGAGACACACACACAGATACACACAGAGACGCACACACACACAGAGACACACACAGAGACACACACACACAGACACAGAGACACTCAGACTCACACACACACAGAGACACACACACAGAGACACACACAGAGACACTCAGACACACAAACACAGAGACACACACAGAGACACACACAGAGACACTCAGACACGCACACAGAGACACTCAGACACGCACACAGAGACACACACAGAGACACAGAGAGACACACACAGAGACACACACAGAGACACACACACACACACAGACACTCAGACTCACACACACACAGACACAGAGACACTCAGACTCACACACACACAGAGACACACACACAGAGACACACACACAGAGACACACACAGAGACACTCAGACTCACACACACACAGAGACACACAGACACGCACACAAACATACACACAGAGACACACACAGAGACACACACAGAGACACACACAGAGACGCACACAGAGACACACACAGAGACACTCAGACACACACACACAGACACACACAGAGACACTCAGACACGCACACAGAGACACACACAGACACACAGAGACACACACAGAGACGCACACACACACAGAGACACACACAGAGACGCACACACACACAGAGACACACACAGAGACACAAAGATCAAAGACAAAGATCCCCCATATAGCCTTAACAGACTGTAGGGGCAAGTGCTGTTAGCGAGCACCTATAAAGGCCGGTAACGGTACACGAGGGGGTGGGTGGCCAGCACCACGCCCGACCGCCTTTGTCTCCCTAGTGGCAATGTTTACACACCACACCAGGTACTCATTTGAGGCTGAGTCGACCTAGGGGAGGCCCGGGACCGGTTCAGATAATCGTCACTGGTGTTGGCCGTGAGCGGGAATCGAACCCAGGTCGCCAGGTTCATAGCGCAGCGTAGCGCTAACCACTACACTACCGCTCCCCACACACACACACAGACACTCAGACTCACACACACACAGAGACACACACAGAGACACACACAGAGACACTCAGACACACACACACAGACACACACAGAGACACTCAGACACACACACACAGACACACACAGAGACACACACAGAGACACTCAGACACGCACACAGAGACACACATAGAGACACACATAGAGACACAGAGACACACACAGAGACGCACACACAGAGACACACACAGAGACACACACACAGAGACACACACACAGAGACACACACAGAGACACACACAGAGACACATAGAGACACACAGAGACACGCAGAGACACACACACAGAGAGACACACAGAGACACACAAAGACACGCAGAGACACACACAGAGACACACACAGAGACACACCCAGAGACACACACAGAGACACAGAGACACACAGAGACACACACACAGAGAGACACACAGAGACACACAAAGACACGCAGAGACACACACAGAGACACACACAGAGACACACCCAGAGACACACACAGAGACGC